TTACAAAAAAAAGTATGAAACTGAAAAGTGCACAGAATTATTCAATCACACAGTGTTCAGAAAGTGCATTGTCCTCTATTCTGCACTTTAGATGAATGACTGCTTAGGTGCCACTGGTGGTGGCACTGTATCGATGCTTTTAAAAACGAGTATTGTATCCGGATACAATGTTTCAGTATTAATTCTTTTTTGAGTATCGATACTTTTGACAACCCTACAATCAACTGGTTTTCCTCAGATAGAAAACTTTGAATTAATTTGACTGTATGATCTGGTTCAACTGTAAAGTGCCTTGAGATGACTTGTGTTGTGAATTAGCGCTATAGAAATAAACTGAATTGAATTGAATTATAGATGTAATTAGGGCTGGATCTCATGATTATTTTGCAAATCGATTGATCTGTTGATTATTTTTTTGATTAATCAGATTGCCAAATGTTCCTTAAAAAAGATGTTTTACTAAATTCATTCAAGTGAAGCTAAAACTTTTCCACTTGCTCCAGGGCGGTCGGACAGTGTTTCGGCTGGCTAGCTTGAACCAGCAAAGGCAGAGAAAGGATTACTCACCAGTTTTTCTTCTCTTTGTGGACGATGCTGACCAGGACCAGTTCTCCTCCTCGGCTCAGCTGCTCTCCACCGGAGTCTCGACACACCAGAGTGAATTGTCCCCTCTGGCCCTCCGTTCCCTGCTGCAGACCTGGAACCAGCAAAACATGACTGTGGAGCATTGAGAAAAGCACCAACCTTAAACAGAGATTAAAATGTTAATATTTTGACCAAGGATGTTAAAAACAGACACAAGACTATTTTAGAATATGCCCTTAAGGCTACCTTCACACAGTAGGGCTAGATGCTTAATCAAAATATTTTTTCTTTTTAACTTTGCCTTTTATTCTACTGTTAAAATATGACAATACCAGATTTCAGTCTGAGCGGTTCAGGACATCAGAGAAGGAGAATGTAGACGCTCCACAGTAACGTACCGTTTATAGTAGTAAGACTGTCACTAGAGGTGTTCAAAGAAGTTTGGATTTAAAAAAAACAAACAAACAGAAAACTAAAGGGGGAAGCACTTGTGTCTCTGTGTTATCAAACCCTTTATTGATGGGAGCCAATAGTATCATCACCACATTGTACTTTTTTGAAAGGTGAAAAGAGCAGAACTGGGACCTTTGGACTCCCGTAAAAATTAGGGATGCACGATATTGGGATTTTGGCCGATATCCGATATGCCGATATTTTAAAACTCATGTAGCCGATAACCGATATCGATACTGATGTTAAAGCTGGACAAAAATAGTCATTGAAAATAGCAGTTTTGTTATCCATTTCTGACACTTTGAAAAATAATATACTCAAATATATTTTCATATGCTGATATCAAATTGATTTTTAAAAACGCGGTATCGATCTATTTTACTTTCAAAATCTCGTGAAATTTCATCGTTCTGGTACAAACTCTCGAGATATTTTGCAAATTCTTGTGAGATTTTGTTAGTAAAATAGATCGATACCGCGTCAATATATCAACATATAAAAATATGGCAAAATTTCGTGAATTTTGGGGGATTTCATAGCATAACGATGACATATAGCAATATTTCATTAGTAAAAGAGATTGATATGGTGTTTTTAAATGGCAATATATCAGCATATGAAGATATTGTGATATTTTAATGTATCAATATTTTTTCCCTCATCTTTAGAAGTTTTTAAGTTTGTAAAAAAGAAGTTTTTGAGGAAGAAGAAGAAGTAGAATTTTTTTTTTTTTTTTAGACTTCAGAAACTCAGAAGCTGATCAAATATCGGGTTAAATATTGGTGGGGGGGCGATGTCCGATATTCAGTTTTAAGGCCGATACAGGCCGATACCGATAGGGGGCCGATTATATCGTGCATCCCTAGTAAAAATGATAGATATTAATTGCATATTGATAAAAGGATGGATTTCTCCTTCTATTTTATACCCAAATGACTGTAAATTTAACAAGGTTATTTTTGTTGAAGAAACCAATTTCCTTCTTTCTCATAAAAATCATAATAATCTACAAAATCTTGTCAATAACGAGTTTAAATGTAAAAACTTTCCCCTATTTTTTAGTGAAATAGAATCAGGAAAAATATTTGGGATATAAAAACTGAGTTTAATAGCAGAACTACTGAGAATGTACTAAATACCTGTGAATATTTCTTAATGAGTCTTTGTATTTTAAAACATAAATTGAGTATTATAATGGTAAACTTTTTAAATATGTTGGTTTATTTTATAATTTATAAAACCATCTTATTCTTAAAGCTCCTTTAATTTTCTACAGGTCTCTATTTTAATTTCTGTAATGTAGTATGGGGTAACACGTATCCTAATCACCTTGAGAAACTAAAGCTTCTGAAAAAGAAAGGCATATAAGTAAAAACACATGCGAATGATAATGCTCCCTCTGACACACCCAGACTTTAAAGTTCACTGAGGGAAATGGCTGATATAAAGAATGCATTATGCAGAGTGAAGTATACAGACTGAATCCTGGATTTCCAGCTCATTTCAGTATTTTTTCCATCTCATAAACCAAACACAAAGTGGAAATCCCTACTAAGTGGGAAAAAGTGGAAGCTGAATTGCACTAGCTTTAGTGCAGCATGTTGAGGAATCAGACTAAAAAAAAACTATTAAAGATTCTCAGTCTCTTAATCTATTTAACAACATCTCAAGATGAGTTTATTGCACAGTTTGCGCCGATATAAACCCCAAAGGCTGAGCTTCATGCAGTGCTGGTTTAGGAAGATCGAGCATTCGCTGTACTTTTTTTTACCCTTTATAGGACGGTTTTCCAGTTGTGTGACAATTTTTGATTGGGTGAACTTTCAGCCTGATCGTGCTGCGTATAGCGTACAGCAGGTAACAAGGGGCGATCAGCGCCTCCCAATCAGGAATCGTGAGGCCATGAGAAGATCAAACATGTTTGAAATCTAGTCGGCCTTGTAAGGTCGCATCTGAGCGTCGCGCCGCACAGTGTGAGAACATACATAGTGAGCTGTGAACTTTTACACCCTGAAGTTTCGCCGCACAGTTTGAGCTGAAGCTGCGAGCAACGATTGAAAATATCGCAGAGTGGATGCCCAGCTTAAGGCCCTGTAAATACTAATAAAGGATTCTTATAAATCAGCATTTAATATGATTTTAATGTGTAATTTCTACTGAAGAACTAATAGCATTCTTTATCAACAGGTTGGGAGTTTAGGTTGTTGGGTGGTTTTTTTAGGTGTTTGATTTCTTTTTATGTTGCTTTGTAGTATGATATAAGTAAAGGGCTCCCAGATTACACGCTGTAAAGGAGGCCATTTTGAAAACTGTTGATCGCTAACTGTACTATGTAAATATTTAAAAACATGTGTTTGTAAATGAATCAAGCGCCTGCTCTGTAGGTTGCCACCTGTTGCTTATTGAACCAATAAGGAAGGTGAAATGTCGAATATTTTCATTGAAATCCCTCAGGATATATCTGAACACATTGCTGTCACATTATTTGCCACTAAAACAAATCGTCTAACAGCCATTATATCTAACCTCAGCAAGTACAGGTTTCTTTGTTAAACGAATAACGGATTTTATTCCTTGTTTCTTGATTAAGCATTAAAACTCAGTATTAATTGGACTGGATAAAATAACAGATTATTTCACAGTCCTTCTTCTTAATGTTCTTTAAAAACCTGACTTTGCTGTCGTTTCTTCTGCACAAATATATCAGCCAATGATCTTCATGACACTGAATGTTTCATATGACCTGATGCCTCTGCATGTGCATGTGCCTGCAGTATTTATGTGTAAACACTCACTAAGCTGTTTGCCTGAAGGCTTGATGACTCTTTTATAGTTTCAAAGGAATTCCTGCCTCTGAGCCAAAGAGCCAACAAGAAAACAAAAGTCTTAAAATAGTAAAAAGAAAAACATGTCTGCATTGTAGCTTCTACTCCTCCCCTGAAGAGGCTCTGGAGCTACATTAGGCAAAAAAATCTTTGGCTAAGCCAAATCTAAATTGTGACGCCAGACAACAGTTTTCCTCTTAAATCTTCTCGATTATTACCACCCATTCTTCCTTTCGGCTGACTGATGCTAAAAAGGGGGGGGGGGGGGGCTGACATATCAGCTTAGAAATTAGTATAAAAATCTGTCTAGATGTGGTTGTGGTATCGGGTTAAGGAGGAGAGCAGAGACACGCTTTTAGCAATCCATGTGGAAGATGGAGAAATTAAAGGGGTCCTAGAATGGTTCTATAGGGTATTTGGTGCTGGTCCTAAAGGTCCCTTAATAGGGTATGTAACATTGGTTGGGCTGAAAATGGCATATTTGCTGTTCTATGAGCCCTAATGCAAGCCTGGCTAAAAGCCCCAGAATGAAATGACAGGTTTTCTTCTTTTTATGGTGCTCATGAATATTTAGATGAGCTGTGCGCTGATTAGTTGGTTTACAACGAGCAAAGCTGCTGAGCAAAGACGCATCATAGCAACAAGGACTCATTCACTGAAACATCAAACTGTTGATATGGTAGGGTGACCAAACAGCAATTTAAAAATCGTCCGGGATATTGGTTGACTACATTGCAGCATGTAGTTAAAACACACACGCGCATTCAAACCGAGCCGTCAGCTCCAGGGCTGGTCCGGGAACCCGGCAGAAGGGGGGAGGGAGCCAGCTGGGGACAGAGTGACCGAACCCCGTATGGTGGCAGCCTGAACACAGGCAGCCCCCTGCTTCCCCTCGCTGGCCCCCAGCCCCCCTCCTCTGGCTGAGGACGGGCGGCTCATGGCTCTTTGCTGAGGTCTGGTCCTGTCAGCAGCCCAGCACAGCTATGAACAGCTTAGCGACAGAATCTTTCTTACAGCTTGCGGTTGTGATGGCCTTACAGTCGGAACAGGCCCTCGTTTCAGTAAAAGAAGTTTATTAAATCCTACTTTGAACTGAAAGATTTTGAAAACTGTCTTCGGTAAAATGCTGAGAGCAACAGCTGAGCGTCAAACAACAATAATCCATGCCTGTCGAGTCTTCGGATCCTTGGGAAGACTTTGAAATTTTCCCCTTTCTCCGTGCAGCCTGGAACACTGCATTTACGCCTCTGGTTCAGGCTCATTTTCAATAGAGAAACTGCCTGCTTTGTAATTCTTGGAGAAGTAAACCCAACTGTAGGCTAAACAGCTAAACTGGTGTCTTACATCTTCCTTCTATTCATGTTCTTGGGCCAGTGAACCAGTGGGCTGGTCTGGATGTCAATTTCATGGCGTGACAAAAGTACAGGCCAGAACCAAATAAGGCAACATCCCCGAATTGACATAAACTCAGGGCTTTGTTGGAATTCACCCGTTTTATGGTGGAAGTTTAGAATTGTGATATTTGCAGAGAAAGGAGGTTTCAATGGGTTTGAACTTCTCTGTACGTCCTTTTCACCCACTGAACTATCGTTATTCATCTATGATAATGGAAACTGGGTTTTGCATTCTATGAACCCTTTAATGTTGACAAAGGGTGGAGGAGGGAATGCTCTTAAGCCCCTTGAAGGATTGCTGAGTCTTTCATCACCCTCTTTTAGCGCCAGCTCATATACTGACCAGCAGCTGAAGCCTCTCCCCGCTCTGGTGCATCTCTGCCGGGATTCTCGCCATCTCCCCTTACCTTAAGCTCCATGGAAAGCAGCCGTAAACCTGACGTGACTCCTGGACTCCCTGAACTGAGAGAATCTCTGGAAGATCTGCTGGACCAGGGGATGCTGGCTGCTTTCAGAAGTGAAGCACCATGACTTGCTTTTTTAGATGAAGGTGATGTTGAGGTGAAACCAGCAACCAGTGGATTAGCCGGCATTGTGGAGCATTTCGCCAGTTACACAAAATCACCCACTGTGCAAATTTATAGTGAAATGACATGAAACTGGCAATATTTTGGCTGTTTTATTGAAAGAATGTGGAAAATCTTAAGCCCGTGCTAAGATGCTGCCTTGGACACAGTCTATAACCAAACACCTTCGTAAATACTAATACAATTAAAGCTTTTTCCCCAACTAAAACATAAGAAAACAATGCTATGTTATCTTCCTACAGCAGGCTTGAAGGCTGATTTGTTTGTTGCTGACTTGCAATAATTTTACTGACAAGATGTGGTAAATTAAACTGTCAGTTTTCTATGCATCAGGGTTGATCAGGGAAAATGCGTCATAAATGACGTAATTCATTGTAGAGCTGTTAAAATCATGCTGAATTTCTCCAGGCTTTGCTTACACCCATGTAGGTGGAGCAATCTTACGGTTGGCGTCACATTGTTGCTGTAAGGTTTCCTGAAAGTCATGGCTAAAATCAGTCCCGTATGGTAAGAATTATTTTCTTGAATTTGTCACCGGTATCTATTTCTTTATTTCTTTTGTGGTGCGTTTCTGTTACTCAGTCTATACCTTAACATTTTCTTAGCTTTCTAGAAGAGATACATTAATGAGACAATAAACATGTTTTAAAAACTGTTTTTCTGGAATGTCTTGATGAATTTAGCAGATTTCTTACATGAACTCAACCTTTTTTGCCTCCTTTTCCCTTTTCTGGCCTGAATAAACCAGAATGTCATGTGGTTCTGGATCTCAGTTCAATTAAGTTTATTTTCTATTGATATTGATTGAGCATCTATCGGGATATTTATTGCTAATGTTTTATTACTCAGCCCTACATGTACACAGCTTCCTTCCAACTTTTATCCTTCAAAGGAATTTGAAGCAACCACTAACAATGTAAGGCAGACATCTTTTTTGGTTGATTACCTTCCCCTTCGATGGTGCACCTGCTGACGTCCACCGTCCTCGAGTTGATCACACCCACCACTGGGTAGCCTTCCACCTCTCCCGCCGGCTCCCTGGGCAGGAAGCAAATACTGCTGCCGTCGTCAGGGGCCACCGCTGCCAGGTGGGGGTCGAATCCACTCTCAGCCAGAGTGGTCAATCTTTTTAGAGTCACGCCTTTGGTGCTGAGGATCTCAGCGTCAGATCCACAGCTCAGGAGCCGCTCTGCAAACTCCACACTCCCTCTGACGTCCAGGAGAGCCTGCTGCAGCTGCGCCCTCTGCAGGTGGAGGTGGTTTCTGCAGGAAAGAGGCATTGGGAAACCAAACAGCAGGCAGCAGTGAGACTTTACTAATTTATTCAGGAGGAAAAACACATCAGTCCAACTTTAGAATATGTGTTAAACTGTTAATTAAAACAGGAAAAGAAAAAAAAGATAAATCAATTATGATGTCAGCGTTTCACTGTCGGTTAATGCTGGACTTTTACAATAAGTAACCTTTAATTATTCAATTTAGTTTATCTACATGGCTTCAATTCACAACACATCATCTGAAGCACTTTACAGCATTAATAGGGTCCTACCTGCGCTGCACCCTGAGCTCCTCTAGGCGGCGCAGCAGGGACAAGCAGTGAGCCTCCACGGCACTGGCGTAGCCTCGTGCAAAAGCTCGAATTTCATTGGCCGTTGCATCTATTCGAACCTGCAGATTTTCTTGGGAAATATCGACCTGCAGGAGAATCAGAAAGGCGAAAGTTTAATTTACAGCAATAACAATATTTTTAATCAGGCCTATCGTATTTGTTCCTCGACACATTTTCCACGTTAACTAAATGAAGCTAAGGATTAATGAAATAATGAAAGTTTATTTGTTTTTTTAATTTACAGACAATTAGTGGCCAGTTTTAAAAAACCTTTACATTAAGAAAAGGGCCTAAATGTTTTAATTTTTAGTAGTAGTAGTAGTTCATTGTTATATTTTCACAATACTGACTGAATTAAAAATAACATGGTTTCTTACACATAATTAAACAAGACACATTTAGAAGATGTAACAAAAAAGGAACCACTAGAAAACTGAATTAAAAAAGATGAATACATTTTTATTTGAAAGGTACAGAGCAGTAAAACTGTAATTTAAAGACAGGGTATGTTGCTCTGATAAGCGGTCAGGCATTTTGCCACACCTTACCTGTTTACATCCCTACTTCAAACTGAATTATGTTTCAAGATTGAAATCTAACAGGAATCTAAAGATGGATCTTTTTGAACCTTTTGCAGCGACTCCTCCAGTCTCTGCAGGCGAGGTCGAAGCTGCACGCTGACCAGCTCCCGGATCCGGTCACCATGGTGGTCAATGATGTCACCTGTTGGACAGCAGCGATGGTCCCGATGCAGCGTGGCCGCGCACTCCAGACATACGGACAGGTCGCAGGTTTGGCAGAAGAGCCTCAGCTCTTGTCCAGGGTGAAGGGAGCAGAGGACGGGGCGGCAGAGACGACCTCGAGCCTTTAGCTCCTCCACGGCCTGAAGAGAATGAGACGCTGTCCGCTTCTGCCGCCTTCAGGGAAAACAGACAAATTCCTGATCAGGTTAAACCATGGAGGGAATTCTGTTTCATTATTGCCAGCAAAGTTTTATTAATAGCAATTTGAGAAAAAAAATACAATAGTTTAAACAATGTTTTTTACTTGCATTTTTACAGATTTTCTATTATATTTTTTCAGCTTTTGTTTTTTCACATTGATTGTTATTATCACAATCATTCTTAAATTGTGTTTTGTGTTTGATTATATTCTCTTTCCTTCTGGCTCTCCTCTGGAGTTAGAAACAAAGATGCATTTCTATTGGTCTGCATGGTTGTTATGCTGCTGTCACACCTTAACGATTTAGCCAGCGTATGCCGACGAACAGCATACGCTGGCAAAAACACTAGCATACATTGGATAAGTTATGGATATGTTTTTTATAAGTTAAGAGCACACTGAAGCACACTTCCACACTGAAATACAACAAGAAATTTTGAGCATCAGAGACGTATGTCAGCGTCTGCTCATACGTGGGCCATTGGTTACAGGTAAGTTATCTGATTGTTGACATACGTTAAGTTTAAGTTACTCATAAGTCGTGTTGTGCATAACTTGTTTCTGACTTACAGCTAGTGTATAATGGTGTATTGGCAGCGTTTTGGTATAAAAGGGGGTTCACATGAGGAAACCGTCAGTTCTCCTCCAGACTTCACGTTCCACAAGAGATGCAGGATTCTGCAAGGCTGAGACGGGAATACATAATAGCTCCAACATCAGCATGATGTCAGCATCAATTTGACCTTTTGGTGTGGCAGTAAAGAGCAGCTAGGTTAATACAGTGAATATAAAGTTTAGAGAAATATTCTTGTGCTTTTTATGCAGGCCGGGCGCCTCCATTGCTGCTCTCCTCAGGACACTGGCTAATGACATTTCATGGGCATCACATGCCCATGTGTCACCAAGTGACACCACCCCTGTCTGCTGGAGACAATGTGGTCAACAAAGTGCAAATAATCGCCATGTCTTTTGGGATTGCCCAAACTTTCAAGGTTTTTGGTCAGAAATGCACAACTCATTACAAGACATTTTCAGAGAGGACTTGCCACTGGACTCTAAGACAGTATCTGGGATGTGTTCCTCAAGACTGGCTGAAAGTGGACAAATACTTAATGAACATCTTTTTGGTGACCAGGAAAAAACCTATCATGAGGAAAGCCCAATACTTGGCCGTGGACACACATTGTGATGGAAATATATAAGATGGAACAAATAACCACCTATTTTAACCAAATATGTATATATATATATATATATATATATATATATATATATATATATATATATATATATATATATGACTAGTTTTTTCTTTATGTATGTTGTTCTCCTCTTCCCTGGAAAAAAATCAGTAAAATATAAATAAATAGAAAAAATATATATATAAATAAAAATAAAAGTGCAAAAAACAATGGGTGATGTTAGTGTGAGTTTAAAGTATTAGGAACTAAATCTTTGTTGGCTTGGATCAGAAGCTGTGGTTTACCTGTGCGCCTGGCAGCAGAACCCGCACAGCTTCACGCAGCAGACCTCACAGCGGCTCTCCGCGCTGCCTTCCCCGCACAGGTCGCAGGCCAGCGGGCCGTCGCTCACCAGGGTCTCCAGGAAGACTTCATCCAGGGCCAGGTGGTCCGTGCTGAGCCCAGCCGGTCCTGCCTCAGGGATATCCACCTCGGTATCACACTGAGGGCAGAGAACGGTGACCGACACTCGCTCCCCCCCGGTCCTAGCGCCGCCGTCCTCCTGGCCATTTCTGAAGCCCCGAGGCGCCGAGAACGGCCCCAGCTGCTCGATACAGTCGGAGCAGAAGGTGTGCAGGCAGGGCAGGATTTTAGGATCACGGTACAGCCGTTTGCACAGATTACAGACTGCTCTGGGGTTTACCGGAGCTAATCTGGTTTCCGGGTCGGAGCCCACAGTGGGCTCTCCTCCCACTGAATGGGACATTGTTGCTTTTAGAAAAGTTGTTCCAGAATCAGAGTAAAACTTACCTACTTAGAGAAAACTCATCCCTATATGTTCAAGTTGTGTCGCTAAATCCCTGTTTTCTTACCAGAGGATTTCAAATTTACCGTAACTAACTTTTCTACCTAATTAAATCCCAGTTTTCCTCGGTGAAGTGGGCTGCATTCAAAGCTGCCTGGGACATTTGACACCTCACTGCTGACAGACCAATGGCAGACAACCCTTGACTCCCCCTGACTATTCGGGGTGGTCCAGAAACTTTCCAGGAATCTTTAAAGCCAAAGTTGGACATTATTCCCTAAACACAAACCACATAGATGACATACTTAAAGCAGTGCAGAAAACCACCTGTTGGTTTTCCTGTTTTTTTTCCTGTTGGATTAATGGAAGTAGTTATCAAACCTGTTCTAAAAAAGGAGAACTATAAGTGCAAACACACCTTAAAGCAGGCGTCTTCAACGTTTTCCAAGCCAAGGACCCCCAAACTGATGGTGAGATGGAGCGGGGACCCCCCAATTATATATATTGTATGAAATTGTGTTATATCAAACATAGTCACTCTATTACAGATGGAGGAATGTAATGAAAGTAATTTCTCCCTGGGATTATTAAAGTATTTCTGATTATGAGTCCTGGTTGATGGTACAGGTGTTGTGAATGAAACGGTGCCCAGCTTGAAAGAGCTCCTGTGTGTCGCTGAATGTGAGCATTGATGACTGAAAGACATCATCTGCCTCCATTTATCTGTTTACTACAGTGTGTTGAATTCATGTTAATGTGTATTTTAAGACATTCCAATTACTGTAGTGGAAAAAATTGTAGGAGGGAATATAAAAAAAGTCTAATCAACCGACTCCCATGCAGTACTTCCATGGACCCCCTAGGGATCGCGGACCCCCTGTTGAAGAGCTCCTTCATATTCAGAATACAAACTTCTGAAAGTACTTTAAGTATGAAATTATTGGATACTTTCAATAAATAAATATTTTTAATTAAGAGTAATTTCACGGAGGCGTCCATGTTTGTCAAAGAACACTACTGCCACCTACCGGTTTGTGACGTCACGGTGCAGTTGAGCAAGTCCCAGTGCTGTATGTGGTGTTTGTCACAACGCGCTATTATCCATGATTGCGATGACCACTGCACTATGTGAAGCAGAGAGTACAGATGAATGACGTGTTTTTTCTCTGGCCAGAAGTTTGATGGTAAATCCTCTTTCTTCAAGTTGGCAATCCAACGATGAACCAGTCCGTGGAGGATCATGAATTGGAAAGGTAAAATAACTCATTTTTTTCCCACTTTTACTGGAACATCCAACTGCCGTGCACCTGGGCATTGTCAGTTTAACTATAGCTCTCGCGAATGTCAATGGTGAAGTCCAATGGAAATCTTAGTAAATAATTGTTGTTAATTGCAGATGTGTCAAGTAGTTCCCATTGATTTTGCTTGTAAAGTAGGGAGAATGGCGCTAGGGCCCCAGGGATGTCAAACTGGTTCCAGAAAGGGCCGTGTGGCTGCAGGTTTTCTTTCCAACCAAGCAATAGCACACCAGACTCCAGTCCTCTCATTAGGTCATCGTGTTCAGATTGGACTCACTTGATGAGATGACTGGAGTCTGGTGTGCTATTGTTTGGTTGGAAAGAAAACCTGCAGCCACACGGCCCTTTCTGGAACCAGTTTGACACCCCTGCGCTAGGCTTACCGCACCGTGACGTCACTGCTGGAAGATGTCAGGAGTTGGGTGTTACTATATTTGGAAAAAAATGGCCGCTCCCGGACTCATATTGTTTATTTTTTTACTGATTAAAGCTAAAATCATTAGATCACCACGTACATATTAGTTTTAGGTATAAATATTGCCCCATTAGTTATTCTTTGCCGACCGGACTTCTCCTTTAAAGTATTACACTACTTATCAATTTCATAGTGGCTTGCACTAGGTGTTATCCAGAGGTATCAGAGTAAATGGTGCTGATAACTTTAGTGAATCTTTGTAAAATTCTGTATGACCTCTTTCAATCGTTAAATGAAGTGTAAAGAATAATCTTTAAATGTCACAGAAAAGTCAACGGCTTTTTTAATTTAATTTTGGGTCAGATGGGGTTGGAAAGGTCCAAATATAAAAACATCACAAAAACATTACCTTCCTTTTTGTTAATGTCTGTGCCCCTCCCCCA